CAGCTCAGTATTGTTAAGTATATTTACATTGTTGTGAAATAGATCTCCAGAACTTCATCTTGCAAATGTGAAATTCTAAACCCATTAAAAAACAATCTCCCTTTTGTTCCCAGATCCTGGTGACCATCATTTTACCTTCTGTTTTTATAATTTGACTATTTTGGTGCCTCATATAAGTAGAATCATACAACATTTGCCCTTTTATGACTGGCTTATTTCACTTAGCACAGTGTCCTCAAGGTTCATCCATGTTGCAGCATGTGACAGGATTTCCTTCCTTTTTAAGGCTGAATAATATTCTAATGTATATGTGTGCCACATTCTGTTTATCCATTCATTTATCAATGGCTATTTAGGTTTCTTCATCTCTTGGCTATTATGAATAATGTAGCTATAAACATGGCTGTGCAAATATCTCTTCAAGACTCTACTGTCAATTCTTTTGAATATATTCCCAGAAGTGGAATTGGTGGATCATATGGTAATTATATTTATAATTTTTTGAGGAACCTCTATACTGTTTTCTATAGTAGTTGCACCATGTTACAATCACACAAACAAGGCACAAGTGTTCCAGTTTCTCCATATCCTCACCAACATTTGTTAGTTTCTATTTTTTTTGATAGTAGTCATATTGCGTGTGAGACAATATCTCACTATGGCTTATTTCTCTGATGATTAGTGATATTGAGCATCTTTTCATGTGCTCGTTGGCTACTTACAAGTATCATCTTTTGAGAAATCTCTCTCCAAGTTCTTTGCCCAGAATGGGTAATTTCTTTTTAAGAATTTCAAACTTACAGAAAATTTGCCAGAATGGACAAAAAACACCCATATAACCTTTACCCAGATTGACCTACTATCCACATTTTGCTTGATTTGTTTTGTAATTTGTGTGCTGTCTTTACATATGTATTTTCCTTAACTCTTTGAGAGTAAGTTTCATGTACCCTTAAGTTTCACTCTCAAACACTCCAGCAATATCTTGTAAGTATAAGATCATTCTCCTATACAACTATTATACAGCCATCATCTTGGATTAATTATTTTTTATGATTCCATTTGACCTTCTTGATTGGATTTTTAGCTATAAATCTTTGGTTTATTATTTTAGTGGTTGCTTTAGGATATAGTGTACTTCTTTATCATAATCTACCTTCAAGTGACATTATACCATCTCAAGTACTGCATAAGAACCTTAACAATGACATACTTCCATGTTTCACTTTTGGCCTTTGAGCTACTGCTGTCATATTACCTTTACATATTTTATGTGTAATGGCATTATTATTTTTCACAATTTTCTTTAGAAAAGATTAACAATAAAGGAGAAATTCTTCCATATTTATTCATGTAATTACCACTGGTGCTCTTCATTCCCAGGTGTAGATCCATCTGGTATCACTTTCCATCTGAAGGACTTTAACATTTCTTGTTGTGAAGTTCTGCTGGTAATGAATGCTTTCAGCTTACATCTGAAGATGTCTATTTGTTTTTATTTTCTGCTGAGACCAGCTCAGTCGGGGAGACCCTAACCCAGCAGTGCTAGAGGAATTAAAGACACACACACAGAAATATAGAGGTGTGGAGTGGAAAATCAGGGGTCACAGCCTTCAGAGTTGAGAGCCTCGAACAGAGATTTACCCACATATTTACTGACAGCAAGCCAGTGATAAGCATTGTTTCTATAGATCATAGATTAACTAAAAGTATTCCTTATGGGAAACAAAGGGATGGGCCAAAATAAAGGGATGGGTTTGGCTAGTTATCTGCAGCAGGAGCGTGTCCTTAAGGCACAGATCGCTCATGCTATTGTTTGTGGTTTAAGAACACCTTTAAGCAGTTTTCTGCCCTGGGTGGGCCAGGTGTTCCTTGCCCTCATTCTGGTAAACCGACAACCTTCCAGCATGGGCATCATGGCCACCACGAACATGTCACAGTGCTGCAGAGATTTTGTTTATGGCCAGTTTTGGGAACAGTTTATGGCCAGATTTTGGAGGCCAATTCCCAAAAATTTTCAAAGGGCATTTTTACTAGGTATAGAATTCAAGGTTGACAGCTTTTTTTTCAGTACTTTAAAGATATTCCACTGTCTTCTCACTTGCATTATTACTGACGAGAAATCAGCTGTTATTCTTCTTTGTTCCTCTGTATTTAAACCTCTTTTCTCTGGCTGCTCTTATGATTTTTCTCTTTATTGATGATTTTTGACAATGTAATTCTGATGTGCCTTTGTGTAATTTTTTTTCAAATTTATACTCTTGTAGTTCTGGAGGCTAGAACTACCAACATCAAGGGTGCTGGTGGGGCTAGGCTCCCGCTGAAACCTCTAGGGTATGATCCTTCCTTGCCTCGTCCAGCTTCTGGTGGCACTTGGTATTCCTTGACTTTGGCAGCATAACTCCAACCTCTGCCACACTGCCATCTTCCCGTCTGTGTCTGTGTTTTCACATGGTATTCTCCTCTCTTTGTGTTTCCCTTTTCTCTCATAAGGACACCAGTCATATTGGATTAAGGATTCACTTTACTCCAGGTTGGCCTCATCTTAATTTACGTTAGTTATATCTGCAAAGACCCTATTTCCAAATAAGGTCACATTCACAAGGGCCACAGGTTAGGGCTTCAACATATCCTTTTGTGAGGCACATTTCAACCCATAATATCTAAGAATACATTACCATACATCACAAAAGGGAGTTTTGTGGGTGTGATTGGGTTAAGGATCTTGAGATAGGAAAAGCATCCAGCCTTATCTAGTGAAACCAGTGTAATCACAAGGGTCCTTCTAAGAGGGAGGCAAGAGGTCAGAGTCTGAAAAGGAGATGTGACAGTAGAAAAAGAAATTAGAGTGATGTAGACACAAGCCAAGGATGGCACGCAGCCTTGAAAGGCTAGGATAGGCAAAGGACAGATTCTCCTCTAGAGCCTATAAAAGGAATGTAGCTATGTTGAACTTACATGCTGACTAGCTTGTAAGAACCATATCAGCCTTCTGAACTCCAGAACTATATGATAATGAATTTGTGTTGTTTTAAGTCACTACATTTTTGGTATAGCAACAACAGGAAACTAATACATGTGGGTTTATAGTTTGTATCTAATATGGAAATTTTTCAGCCATTATTTCTTCAAATACTTTCTGTTCTTCTCTCTTTTCTCTTCTAATAATACTCCAATTTCATACATATGAGGCCTCCAAGTTGTCCCATAGCTCACTGATCCTCTGCTTATTTTTTAAAATTCTTTTTTCTCTGTGTGTTTCACTTTTGGTAGTTTCTATTGCTATGTCTTCAAATTCACTAATCTTTTCTTCTGCAATGTCTAATTGCCATTAATCTCATGTAACATATTTTTCACCTTTGACATTATAGCTTTCACCTCTAGCAGTTTGATGTGAACTTTTTTTTCTCTTTTTACTATCTTCCATGTCTCTACTTTATTTTTTAAACATGTGGAATATAGTTATAATGAATGTACTTGTTTACCAATTCTAACATCTGTATAAATTATAGGTTGACTTTAATTTTTTTTCCTCATTGCGGGTTATATTTTCCTGCTTTTTTGCAAGCCTGGTAATTTTTTATTGGATTGTAGTCATTATAAACTGCACCATGTTTGTTACTGGACATTTTTGTATTCCTATAAATATTTTAAGCTTTATTCTGAGATACAGTTAAATTACAAAGAAACAGTTTGGTCCTTTTTGTTCTTGCTTTCAAGTCTTGTTAGGCAGGACTAGAGCAGTGTTTAGCCTAGGGCTATTTCCCTCCACTGAGACAAGACTTTTCTAAGTAATCTACCCAATGCTTCATGAATTGTAAGGTTTTCCAGTCTGACTGGTGGGAACAGGCACTATTCCAGGCCCAGTGTGAGTACCAGATGTCATTCTTTCTAACTTTTTTGGGTGGTTATTTCCCTAGCCTCTGTCCATTTCCTCATATGCATGGGCTAATGTCCACTGTCTTGAAAACTGTTACAGTCACAAGTGCTTAATGATAATGGAAATACCTTCTGAGAAATGAGCCATCAGGTGACTTCATCGTTGTGTAAACATCATAGTGTACTTACACAAACCTAGACAATATAGCCTACTACATACCTAGTCTATGTGGTATAACCTATTGCTCCTAGGCTACAAACCTGTACAGTATGTCACTGTACTAAATACTTCAGGCAATTGTAACACAATGGTAAGTATTTATGTATCTAAACATATCTAACATAGAAAAGGTACTATAAAAACACTTTATAAAAGATAAAAAAAGGGCAAACCTGTTAGGACACTTACCATGAATGGAAATTGCATGACAAGAAGTTGCTCTGGTTTAGTCAGTGAGTGGTGAGTAAACGTGAAGGCCTCAGACACTACTGTACACTACCATCGACTTTAGAAACACTGTGCACTGAGGCTACACTAAGTTTACTTTTTAAATAGTTTTCATTTTTAATAATAAATTAACCTTGGCTTGTTGTAACTTTATTTCATAAACTTTTAAATTCTTTTAACTTCTTTTGTATTAACATGTAGCTTAAAACACAAACATTGTGCCAGGCATGGTGGCTCATGCCTGTAATCCCAGCACTTTGGGAGGTTGAGGTGGGTGGATCAGCTGAGTTCAAGAGTTTAAGACCAGCCTGACCAACATGGAGAAATCCTGTCTCCACTAAAAATACAAAATTAGCCAGGCATGGTGGCACATGCCTGCAATCCCAGCTACTCGGGAGGCTGAGGCAGGAGAATCACTTAAACCTGGGAGGCAGAGGTTGCAGTGAGCCGAGATCGTGCCATTGCACTCCAGCCTGGGTGATAAGAGTGAAATTCCATCTCAAAAAAAAAAAAAAAAAAAGACCACAAACGTTGTATAGCTATACCAAAATAGTTTCTTTCTTTATATTCTTATTTTATAAGCTTTATTTACTTTAAAATTTTGGTATTGTTTTTACTTTTTAAATTTTTTATTAAAAACTAAGACACAAACACACATTAGCCTAGGCCTACACAGGGTCAGGATTATCAATATAACAGTCTTCAAACTCCACATCTTGTCCCACTGGAAAGTCTTCAAGGACAATTAACATGCATGGAACTGTCATCTCCTATGATAACAACGTCTTCTTCTGGAACACCTTCTAAAGGACCAGCTGTTTTACAGTTAATGAATATAATACAATAAACCAGTAACATAGTTTATTATCAAGTATTATGCATTCTACATAACTTTAGGTGCTAGAGTTTTATGTAACTGGTAGTGCAGTAAGTTTGTTTACATCAGCATCAACACAAACCTGTGAGTAATACATTGTACTATGACATTATGAACGATGTCACCAGGTCATCGGAATTTTTCAGCTCTATTATATTCTAAGAGACCACCGTCACATATGTGGTCCATCATTGACTGAAATGTCATTATGTGGCTCACGACTATATTTTATATATTATGTGTTTGTTTTAGGTAGAAGGATAAATCTAGTCTCTTTTTATACCATCTTGACAGAAGTAAAGCTAAACTTTTTTAGCATGAGAAGCTTTTTTTTCAAATAACTCCACTATTTGACACAGATAAAAAGCAAAGCTTCTGTGATTGAGAGTAAGGGAAGGGATTGCTAGCTTGAGGAGACCTGCCTATGTAGCTGTTTCTTTGACACGCTCAGTAATTCCTAAGGGTTCTCCCCTGATCCTTAGAGATTCACAGGGCCCAATTTGAAAACCACTATATCTAGTCAAATCCCTCCTTTTTGATATTTGATAAAACTGAGAACCAGAGTGGTTATATAACTTGCCCAACGTCACACAGTTAAAACCTAGATTGTAAGATGAAAGGGAGTAATGACTGCACACAAGTAAAGACCTCAAGAATGGCAGCAATTATTACTAGGTCTGTCCTTGTATTTCAAATTTCTAAAAGTCTGTGATAGTAACAGGAGAAGAGAGAAAAACTGTGTTTTTATAGAAAGGATCTGGCAATAAAGGACTCAGTTACACCTTCCCTTATAAGCCAGGGTCATTTCCTGAGGCCCCATCTCCTGAGGAAGGTCCTCATGTTCCCAACTCAGCTCCCAGGCAAAACTTATATAAGTGCCTCAGGGCTGAAGACTAGAACCCAGGTTCCTGAATTACAGGCAAGTGTCTAATCCACTGCACCCCATCACCTCCCTTCATTGGTAAAATTCAAAAATCCAGTGAAACATTATTCTTTGCTAACCACCAAATATTGTAAAAAGATTCACCTGGAACTGTGTATTTGCAATTTTGGCAAAATTTCCTGGGACCACAGAAAGAGGTCTCAATCTCTCACTAAAACAGCACAGATTCCACATTGCCTGGAACTTCGTGTAGTGGAGTATGGTGTGGTGGTGTTTTGGAAGCAAGCTAGAAAGAAGAGATTGATCAAATAGGAGTCTAGGCTCCCACTGAAAACCACAAAACAGGAAGGACATGGGTGCCAAGAGTGTCTAACTCAGATGCTGACACACTGGATGAGTCTGGATTTGCCACTCAAAGAATCTCAAACTCCTTGATTTAAGTAGTATTCATAGAACTTGTTCCTGCTTGCTTTGTAGAGAATCTGTGAGCTATAACCATATTTAAAAACAATTTGTAAATTACTAAGAGCTCCTTGGAGATAGGATGATATATAAATATATATATTACTGTTATGTTAACCACACTTAAGTATGGTTAACCATACTTAAGAATGCCAACCATACTTAAATATTTACAATATTACTTTAAGAGAGATTATCTGCAAAATTCTTAGTGTCTTCTCCAATTAATTTTCCAAACTATAGAGAAGTTAATTACCCTGTGGTCTTGATATATTTCAATCTACTAGAGTTCAAAACTTGTAATATATTTAGAACTATTTTCATATCAGTGAGAACTGAAAGAATTTCAACATAACATCACTATTCTTACACCATCACATCACAGCATGTCCTCAGAGGCAACACCAATAAGGAGAATTAAGTATCTTTCCTGAGGATTCAGTCTTGTCATTTTGCCTAATTCTAGAAGAAAAAATTACCAATTAGTTTGATTCATATTTTTGATCCAATTGGTATATATATACACACACATATATGTGTATACACACACACACACACACACACACACTTGCAAGTTCAGCCCTCAAAAGATGGTTCATTTTGCCTAAAGCTTCCCTTTCAGATTAGGACAGCAAGATGTCATCAGATGAGTGGTAGCTTCGTGATTTGAACTGCAAGGCTGCTGTGCATGGCTGCAGAGGTAGAAATGAGTCCTTGAAAATTGCGCTGTGTACACCCTGCTCTACAATACATGGTTGCCTTTATTCTACTTTAATACTAGAAGAAAACAATGAATCAGGAAAGGGAATATGGAAATTGAACACATATGGGAATATAAAGAAGCCAGACAACAGAATGCCTCCAAAATATATATCTATACAAAAACAAATCTGTTATATATTCTAAATTTGTGTATCTACATACCAAACAGATTACATTTACCTATATAAACATGTTACATTTACCCATATTAATAATAAATATTTAACAAAAACACATTATATGGGTAAATTTACTGAACCCCTAGTACTAGTCATATAACAGACAATCCATAAATATTTCAAATACATGAATGAAAATATACGTACTCACATAGCTGCATGCTGTGGCAATTAAATTAAGATGAACTGCTGCTAATTTTCATCAGGTTGAACATGGACTTTTGTTAATTTTCATCCAGTCAGAAATGCCCGGCAGGTTCAGAAGACTCCAGAAGAACCCATAACCTAGAGTCACAAGCATAGGTGTGACCTAAGTGTTTTCTAACCAGGACAAATCAACTGAATTCCCTATGACATGTACCTGAAACTATTTAATTCTAAAAAGTCTGTTCCTGAAACTCAAAGACAATTGTTTTGCTTTGTCCCTATTGTTACAGGTAAGATCACGTTCTAAGAATGGTCATTATGGAATGGAGGAATGAATTATTTGTCTAAGAATCAGAAGGAAGAACTGCTTTTCCCACCCAGCTTTGGAACTAACAAGCTGATGACACTTAGTCCAGTCCCTTCTCTGCAGATCTTAACTGCTTAATCTGTAAACTACATAGTTGGATTTCACAATCCACAAGGTTCCTTCAAGCTATGCAGAAATTTATTTATTGTATAATAAATAATATTTATTATTTATTTAGATTTGACCCTGACTGTCAAATCAGTAAGGTTAATAAAATTAAAAATTGTGACCAAAAGAAAATATGTTAAAAATAAGTGTTAACATACTTGTCAATTAAATTTTATATTTAGTTCTGAGCAATCAGGGAAAAGTGAGAAATGTAAGTTTCACTACTTTCATTTTTGGAAAGGGAGAAGCTTTCCTTTTTCTTGACGAATGACCTTCTGTGGTACTAATCCGTGCCCTAATTGAGAAGATAAAATGTGACCCCAGCTTCACAGGATCATTCCCAGGCAAGAAACCCCTCCTCATACTTCTAGGTAAAGACTAAACATTCAGATGGCGCCATTTTTCGTAGGTAATGTAATGTCATCATGAGGTCACTGGGTACCACACAATTGAGGAAATCAGAACCCAGAGACATTAAGTAATATTTCAGAGGCCACCCAGGTAGCCATGAACGGCAGAGAGATTAAATACTCAAGAGTTCCTGACCTGGAGGTCAGCGCGTGGTTTTAGGTAACACGCCCCGGGACACACGCGGCCCTCTGTGCATGTGCGCAGAGCTGAGTGTCCTTGGAATGTGACACGAGCTGCACAAAACGCAAAAGAAGCTGAAAGGCAGCGATGCCCTGGGGTCTTCTGGGGCATGTGGGTGTTCCTTTCACTCCGCCCCATTCCTTTCACCACAGCTCAGTTTGAACTTGATGAATTAAGTGTGAAGTTTCCTTCCACTTCAGTGTGGAGCGCTCTTCCAGGCTGGGCGCCCGCGGTCCGGAAACATCAGCGTGTCTACAAGATGGCGCTGGGTGTGTGGGAGAGTCGCACTGGAGACGTTGAGCTAAGAAACCACAGCAGGTTAAGGACTGGGAAAACATCTGGCTCCAATGGAGACAGCAATGGCCTCCCACGAGCCCAGACACAACACAGGGCTGTCAGTTCCCCCTCTGAAGGCATTCTATCGCCCCCAGGAGGAGCCTCCAGGGACTGAGGTCACCAAAACACATATTAAGAATACATTTTGACAGCAATTTGTAGGAACAGGTCCCTGATTTCCTGGTCTGAGGAGAGTCTTGAGGCTCTTTGCTGCAAGAATGAATTCGGGGGCCCTTCCTCTGATGTCCTGAGGGGGAGTGTGGGGGGAGTCTGAGAAAGGTGATGGAACACAGGTTCCAGAGAAAATCTGGGAATAGTGCACCACCCAGAAGAGCGATTTTTGTTTTAAAAACACAAAATAACTTGCCAATCAGTGCTCCCTACTCCCACCCAAGTCTTTTCCCCATTCACCAGCACGAACAAGACTTCCAATAAGCATCCAAAAATCATCACTTTACTTTTGCAATATCTGCACAGGGTTTTAGAAATGAAAGAATCCTGAGCTGGGCATGGTGGCTGACGTCTGCAATCCCAACTACTCCAAGGCTGAGGCAGGAGTATTGCCTGAACCCGACAGTTCAAGACTAGCCTGGGCAACATAGCAAGACCCTCCCCCGTCTCAATAAAGCAAAGAAATCTTAAGAACCATTTATGCACTTTGGGAGCCCAAGGCCAGCAGATCACTTGAGGTCAGGAATTCCAGACCAGCCTGGCCAATTTGGTGAAACAGGGTCTCTACTAAAAATATAAAAATTAGCCAGGTATGGTGGTGTGCGCCTGTAATCCCAGCTACTTGGAAGGCTGAGGCAGGAGAATCGCTTGAACCTGGGAGGTGGAGGTTGCAGTGAGCAGAGACTGTGCCACTGCACTCCAGCCTGGGTGACAGAGGGAGACTCTATTTCAAAATAACAAAGAACCATTTATGGCCAGTAGAGTAGCAAAATGATTATGCCACAGCTAGTTAGTGGAAACTCTGGGAATAGGCCTTAGCTAACCCAGCTCCTAATTGGGGCTCTTTCCTTTTATTCATCTTTTTTCAACAAACATTTATTGCATGCCTACAAAGGCAAGAGAAAACATGGCCAACCATGCACGGCTCTGAAAACTTTTGGCTCAGAAGTGACACATATCCTTTCTGCTCACATTTTATTAGACAACCAAGCAAGTCATTGTCCATGCCCAATTTCAACAGGCAGGGATAGATTATCTTCCCATGGAAGAGGCAAAGTATTTGTGAACAGTAAGACCGTCCTCCACAAAAGCCCAGGGTCTAGGACAAGGGTTGGTTTCCCTATATTAGCTAAGAAGTTAGGAGCTCAGCAGATGAATCAGCCTGCTGGAGACAACCACAGTTCCTCATTCCTCAACCAAAACTAGAGACATCCAAGAGACATGGACACTGATGAGGAACATAGGCTAGAAGCACTATTTGGAAGTTCTTTGGGGGAGAAAATAGTTTTTTCCATCCCTGGGAAGTCAAGGACATATATTCATGAGCTCCCTTTAACAAATGACCTAAAATTTTCCATATATACACAAATATTTGACCAGATGGGTCTCAGGTCCTGAAGATGAAACACATCACCAAGATGGCGTCTGTTCTTGGCTCCTTCCAGCATTCCAGACCCTGAAACCAGATGATCTTTTTAAAACAAAAATCTGGTTGTGTTTTCCACTCTTCTTCTACCTTCCCATGTACAACTTTCCATTGCTTAAAACATATCAATGGCTTTCTGTTGTTTTTACTCTGAAGCTTAAAATCCTAACTAATGGCTCCAGGCTCTCTCTGTTCCATGTACACAGACCTGCTTTTAGTTATTTAGGATCTCTATGGTTCTTCCTATCCACAGAGCCATTCCACATGCTATTCCTGCTATCTAGAATGCTTTTCCTTAACCCCTTCATCCAGGTAATTCCTTCTGTCTTTAGATCTTGGCTTATTGCTATTGCCTTAAGAAAGTTTTCCCTGACCTCACCAAGTCAATCTCTCTCGATTACTCATACATCAAGTATTTATTGAATACCTACTAAGTTCCAGGCATTGACCTAGTTGGTAGGAACATAAAGGCAATGAGACAATTGACATGCCAGGGAGGGACAAAAAATAAACAATAAAAATACCACTGTCAGGTATGACAGGTGCTATGAACATGAAATGAACAAAGTAAAGGGTGAAAGGGCCAAGAACTATTTTAGATAAAGTGGTCAAAGTTAAGTGGTCTCTGAAGCTCCTCTGAAGAGGGGACCTGTAACTATACCCTAAATACAGAGAAAAACCAAGCTCTGCTACCTGTAAGAAAAATGTTCCTGATAGAGGGAATGACAATTCCCAATGCCCTGAAGACAGGGTGTTGGAAGAATAGCCAATGTATTATGACTTATTTCAGTACTTTGTAGTTTATCATAGCATTATCACTATATGATTTAAAAATTCATTTCTGTTACTTGATTAATGTTCATTGCTCCTCTAGACTATTACTTCAAAAGGCATAAAGGCAGGAGCTGTATCCACTTTTTGCTCATCATTGGACATTGAATCTCCTATGTTGTGCCTGGCACCTAGCACACAGTAGGTCCTTAATAAACATTTGTAGAATGGTGAAGAAATGATGGCTAAATCAATGAATGATAAAGCAGATCCCCAAATGACTACAATCTTAGGTGTTTTCTCTGCCCCACTCATATACATTCAGAACTCTCCTCTAAATGCCAAGAGCTGTTTTCCTGAAAATCTTGACCTGAATACTTTTCTTCTGATGAAGATAGCATGCCTGGTCAATGAATTCCAGAGGGTCAGTGCCCCCAAGAAATAGCCTGCTACCAGTGGCAGACAGGGAGTCAGAGGATAAATATGCCCCAGCATCCTTGTCCCTTAAATGGGATAACTCTAAGGCAGTGGTTTCTCAGTCCTTCATAAATGATTCCCCCAGGGGACATTTGACAATGTTCAGAGACCTTTTAGGTTGTCACAACAGGTAGGAGGAGGGGTGGGGAGGAGATGCGACTTGCATCTAATGGGTACGGTTCCAGATGCTACTAACCATCTGACAGCACAAAGGACAATCCCCTAAACCAAGAATTATCCAGCCCCAGATATCAACAGTGCCAAGTTTGTGAAACCCTGCTCTAAGGTATCTGTTCTACATGGTCTCCTTAAATTCCCTAGCAGAACCGAGGTCCAGTTGCCCATGGTGGTGACTGGTTTGATAACATATCATTTATTGGTTTCCTCCCTCCTCTTCCCTGTCTCACTTCCCAGGTGGTGTTTCCTAGGATCACCTACCAAATAAACGACTTTCCCTCAATTCCTCATTTCAGATTCTGCTTCGAGGGAAATCTAAACCACAAAATATCCCTCAAATCTTATATTTCTCAGCAACTAGTCTCTCCAACTCTTGGCCTGGCTGTGTAATAAACTACGGGACTGGCCTAGGAGACCCCAAGGAGTAAGCAGCTAACACTGGCATCTGAAACTGGCTCGTGAGCTACAGCTCTTAAGGAAAGGCTGTACCACCTGAAAAAGTGCCTGGTTTGGGGAAAAGAAGCTTACTTCCCACTGGTACCCTTGGAGAGTCATTCAATTTGGAATAGAGACAGGAGAAAGAATGGCGAGGTTGGAAATGGAAAACCTGTTCAAATCCCACCTCTGTTGCTAACTGGATCCTTTTTCCTGGTCAAGTCTCTAACTTGCTGTATACTCCATTTTCCCATATTTCAAATGAGTTTGTTGGGTTGGAAGATCACTGAGGACTCTTGGAGGCCTACCATTCTAGAATTATAAGAAGAAAACACTCACCTTCCATATCCCCTCCACCATAACCCAAGCATTGTCTTCTTTGTTCAGAGGCCTCTTCTCCTGGGGCCACCTGGGACTCCTCCACCCCCGAGCTGACACACCTCCCACCATAGCACTTCATGGCAGGTCTCTCTTCTCTGTCTGCCTCTGTTAACACTTATATGATCCACATGCTTGCAGCTCAGTTCAACTCTTAAAAATCATCTCGTCTCTGGGCTTTCATTTCCTAGAGACAAAGGCATGAAGAAGTTGGCTCTCTTTCTCAAGATTGCAAAGTTACAAAACCCAGCTCCAAGTCCATGACCTTCCCACCCACCACACTTGAACAGGTGGACAAATACACCTCAGCATGCACTGGCTATATACTGGGTATGGATTTCAAGTGCAAAGGAAAAAGAAAAAATTTAACTCTTTCTCCTATTTAATAAAAATAATTAAGAAATGGAATGTTCTGATTGAAAATTACCAAGCATATGATGTATGTATGGATGATCAGTTTTTGAAGAAGTGGAAACAATTAGAAATTAGAAAACAGAAGCCCACATCCTTTGAAACCCATCCTGCAGGTAAGTGAATACTTTCTTCATGGTGCCTAAGGCATTTTGGAATGGCAAAGATAACAAGAATACCTGGCATTGGTTTATCTCCATGTCATTTGCTGTTCCGGTTTATTTTCAAAGGTTTGTGTAGCAATCAAAAGAACTAGGCAATAATTTAAGTGAGGCTGAAAGCATCAGCCAAGGGTGTGGAATTTGGGAAAATATATTATTGCTGTGCCTCTTCCTGATAAGAAAATAAGGATGATTGTTTGCCTTTTATTTGTTTTTGACAAAACAGAGTTATTTAATAAGTGAACATACATCAAAGGTAAATATGGTTTTATAAAGAAGTTCTGAATATTTTATTATTAAAGTAACAAACTCATTTAGCTCATTTAAAAATTCTAAAGTTATAAACAGTAAGTAAAACAAATAGCATGAAAATAAAATTATAATTGCCTTTAATTTCACACTTAGAGATCACCATTACTTGCTTCATGTATTGCTATCTAATATTTTCAGACTTTTTTTTTTTTTTTTGAGACAGAGTCTCGCTCTGTCGCCAGGGTGGAGTGCAGTGGCGTCATCTCGGCTCACTGCAACCTCCACCTCCCAGGTTCAAGTGATTCTCCTGTCTCAGCCTCCTGAGTAGTTGGGACTACAGGCACATACCATCACACCCGGCTAATTTCTGTACTTTCAGTAGAGATGGGGTTTCATCATGTTGGCCAGGATGGTCTCCATCTCTTGACCTTGTGCTCTGCCCACCCCGGCCTCCCAAAGTGCTGGGATTACAGGCATGAGCCACCATGCCCGATCCAGACATTTTTAACAAAAATAAAATTCATATTGCCTAATATGTGTACAATTCTTATATCTTTCCATTTCACTTTTCACTGTGTCATGAACATTTAAGCATGGGTTCTGATTTTTTAACAATTGTGTAATATTCCATTTATCTATCAGTCAGTGAAAAACAGATTTAACCAAGCCCTCATTGCTGGGTACTTAGGTTGAATCCAATTTCTGTCTCCCACCGAAATCTCTGAATCTCCGCTAGACTCCAAAAAACAAAATCACTGGGTCGAAGGATATAAACATTATTTAAGGTTTAGAGAAGGTTTTAAAGCAATAAAGGCAAGAAAATATTTAGTACTTATTTAATTTATTCCTAACTTGCCTAACAAAGATTAATGACCCTGGCCTTGTCCACAGATTTGACTATAATTTTTCATTTTCACCTTGAGACCTGATTTTGGAATTATCTCTTTAGACACTGGCTCTTTAGGCAGAGTCTAGCATCAAAGTTTTTAAGAGGATGATGTTTTCTGGGGTACTGGAAATATTCTACTTCTTTATCTGGATGGGGGTTACATAGATATATTCAGTTTGTGAAGATTCATTGAACTGTACACTTATGATTTATGCACTTTTCTGTATGTTTGCTTCACTTAATAAAAATTATGCTTACAAAAATAATGCTTCATTAAATCATGAAATGTAAATTTCCTCAAGTAAGCCCTAAACAGCCATGAAGTCCTTGTGGTTTTGGAGATCAAATAATATGAGTATTTGAAACCACTAGATGTTTTACAAATAATTGTTATCATCATCATCTGAATGAAGTCATTCTTGCTAAATATATGATAAGGTAACACTCTCAGAAGGCATTTTTATTTTACAATCCAATTCATTCTGAAATTGGTGAGTTGACAGGTATGGAGAGGGAGTCTTTGGATAGGCAGTTTTTTCCCATGCATACTTCCTCTGATTCCCTCACCCAGGGAGTAAGGTACATGTAGCATGGGTAGTCAGGCCACTCAGACTCTAATTTTAGAATCCAGGATTCCCAATTAAAGATTACCCAGGACACACAATTCAGCAAGTTCATCAATATCCAGACTCAGGTTCTCATCTAAGAAATGTGGCTTGGTTCTCTCTGGACAAGGCCAACACGTACAGCTGGGAGGGTTGCTCGCTGCACAAGGACACCTGGCTAAGGTATTTTAGGGGGATGATGTCCAGGGCTCACCAAGTCATACATCCTGGCTGGGGATTAATCCACTCAGAAGAAGGGGGGCCTTTTAAAAATATAGACAAAGATGCCAAATGGGGCTCCCATGCTCCATCTCTCCCACTTTTAGGCCAAGCCCCATGGACTAACTAGGCTGATCCACCATGACAGTGGGCATTATTTAGGCAAGAAGTCATCACCAGGCAGGGTATGCTCCCACAACTGCACAACATGGGTTTGCCTTTAGTTCTAAAACAGACCCTGTCAGCCCTCTGCTCTGGATGAAATCCCCAGAAACTCCTGGGCTCCTGACACCTGTGATGGCTCATTCATTTGTGAAATTGGCTGAGCTATGGTGCCCAATTATTTGGTCAACCACTAATCTAAATGTTGCTGTGAAGGTATTTGGTAGACATAATTAACATTTACAATCAATAGACTTTAAGTAAAGTAGATTATCCTTCATTATGATTGGACCTTATCTAATAAGTTGAAGGATTTAAGAGCAAAAACTCAAGTTTCTCAAAGAAGAAATTCTGACTCAAAACTTCAACATGGAAACCCTGCCTGAGATTCCAGCCTGCTGGACTGCCCTACAGGTTTCAAACTTGCTGGCCACCATGATATCATGAGTCAATTCCTTAATAAATCTCTTCTGTCTCTTTCTCTCTCTCCCTTTTTTTTTTTTTTCCTAGACAGAGGAGTCTCGCTCTTGTTGCCCAGGCTAGAGTGCAGTGGCACGATCTCGGTTCACTGCAACGTCTACCTCCCAGGTTCAAGTGATTCTCCTGCCTCCTGAGTAGCTGGGATTACAGACACCCACCACCATGCCCAGCTAATTTTTGTACTTTTAGTAGAGACAGGTTTTCACCATGTTGGCCAGGCTGGTCTCGAATTCCTGACCTCAGGTGATCCATCTGCCTCAGCCTCCCAAAGTGATGGGATTACAGGTGTGAGCCACCATGGCCAGCCTCTCTCCTCTCTGTCTGTGTGTGTGTGTGTGTGTGTGTGTGTGTGTGTGTGTAGGTGTACATGGAGAGATACATATATATCCCACTATGTATACATATTATACCCTATCGATGTATATATACATAGATATCTTCTGAACTCTGTTCTCTGGAGAACTCTGACAAATGCAGCCCCTGAGAACTGCAGCCCCTGCAGTGGAACAGAAGCTGATGCGAAGCTTCTTGATTCTCATGAGGCCTTGCACGGGAAGAAGCATCCAGGAACACAGTGGTTCAAGCCAATCCTAAAAAGCAAAAACCTACAAATGCAGAAATCCCATTTAGCCCTCATTTTAGAAGTCTTTGTAAAGCTTCTACTTACAAATACATGCTCATAGCAGACGATTTTAAGAAAATAATTAAACAGGATAAGATTTCAGGTGTCAGGATCTTAAAGTGACTTCAAGTTTTCATCATTTAGAATGGGCTTTTCCATGCATGATTTCACTTGATCTGGCCGTACCTCTCATGGAATCCAATTCCATTAAATTCTGGACACGTGAAATAAATGGCATAAAACATGGGAAGAACCAGGTTGTGTTCTGCCACTGAAGCCCATATGACTGCAGAGGAGTTTTTCTAGGTCCCTTGGGCATTGTGTTTTTTAAATAAACTACGTCATTCAACTGATATTAAAAGCAAAGTGAATGTCTAAAAGTAGTTCAAACAAGGACATCTCCCCTGGATTTTCATGAGCAGGCCCCAAGTCTGAAATGACATATAATGTCTACTAAAAAAAAAAAAATCTACTTAGAAATTGCAGTAAATCATTTTCTTTCCTCCCCTCCTTATTTTCCTTTATCTCTTTGGTAGATTAATCTGAAGAACTTGGCCCAATCACCTCTTTTCCTGTGTGCACACACCCTTTAGACACCTACAAGCAGATCACTATCATCCTGGGAATGATCATGGACTGAACACCATTTTCCCCTTCACCAGCTTTGCACTTTCTCATTTGGAAGCCTCTGGCTGTCAGTCAGTCTACATCTTGCTCATTTTTGTTTGTTTGTTTGTTTTGTTTTGTTTTGTTTTTTGGCACTATTTCCTTTCAGGTCTGCCTTTCTTCTGTCAGAATTCCTCTGACTAGGACATAGTTGCCTTCTAGCTTTTTCCACCTTCAGCAGGTAGTGTTCACTGGAAGGGAAAATTCTTAAGAAGTCTTGGTAGAGTAGCCCCAGTCATCTGCTATGTGTGCCAATGATGATGAAAATAAGGGGGAGAGGGGTAAGAGAAAGAAGAGGTGGAGAAAGTTGAGATGAAGCAAAGATAATTGCAAATTTCTTGCAGATAGGATCTGAGTCTTGCTCATCTTCAAATCCTTACTGCTTAACATCTATGTGCCTAGCACATAGCAAGTGCTTACTCAATGGCTGGAGAATCAAACAATAGAAAAAAAGAATGAATAGACATGGAAAAGAACAAAGTCTGTAGGGAGGAAGACAGGGAGGGAAAGAAAAAAAAGAAGGAAGGAAGGAAGGAAGGAAGGAAGGAAGGAAGGAAGGAAGGAAGGAAGGAAGGAAGGAAGGAAGGAAGGAAAGAAGGGAGGGAGGCAGGGAGGGAGGGAGGGAGGCAGGCAGGGAGGGAGGTGGGCAGGGAGGGAGGGAGAGAGGGAAAGAAAGAAAGAAGGAAGAAAATAGGTGACGATTCCTGGCAGTATAAGAAA